TTACGGGCTGGCGGAGGGATCGGTTTGTGTTGCCTCCCCGCCTTGCTCCCTGCCTCCTCCCTGCCACCCTGTCTGCCTCCCTGCCTCCGCCGCTGGGTCATTGTTGTTCCCGGCGCTGGCAGTGAGTCACGGACCCCACGAAACCGGTCTCGAGCGGGCCGTGACCCCCCCCCCCCCCTCCTCTTCCTCTTCCCCATGCCTGTGGAGGATTCAGAGGGCGAAGGGGGAGGGAGATAGGAGGGAAGGGAAGGGAATGGAAGGGAAGGGTAGGGAAGGGTAGGGAAGGGTAGGGAAAATATGAGGAAGCAGCCGGAAAGGAAGGAAAGGAGGGAAGGAAGGATGGAAGGATGAAAGGAGACAGGCGAAAAGGAAAGGAAGGAGAGAAATGGAACGAGACAGACAGCCAAACTGACAGAGAGGGGCGAGCGAACCAGCAAAGAGACAGGCAAGCAAACAGAGGCACAGACCGACTTACTAATTGACTCATTAACCTTCTTCCCAGCCTAAGCTAGTCGGGGAACGCCTTCGGTATTTCACCCACTGTAGCAACCAGACAATAAAAAGAAAAAATGAAAAAGAAAAAATAAACACGAAACTCGGGGGAAATTTGCATGCGAATGTTTTTTTTTCCTCTGTTCCTTTTAGCCCATTCTCCCTTCCTCTTGTTGAAAACCTCGGCTTTTGTTCCGTCATGCAAGAATTGCAAAGGCGGCAGCCAACTCGGACTGCAACTTCAGATGGCCTGACCTTCAGTGGGAGGTTAGTGTGTGAGTCTGTGTGAGGGAGAAAAGTTTCACCGCGCTTCGCTTGTGTGTGTGTTTGACTGTTTCTGTTTCTTCTGTTCTTTTCTTTTTATTCATTTTCTCTCTTCTCCCTCTCCTCTCCCTCCGTATCACCTACTCGTCCTTCTCCTTTCCTTCTCTCTCCTCTCTCTTCTCTCCTTTTCTCCCTTCTCCTTCTCTCCTCTTTCCTCCCTCCTTCCCTCTCTTTTCCTCTACTCTCTTCTTATTTCCTTTCCTCTCCTCTCCCTTCCTCTTTCCTTTCTTACCTCCTTTTCTATTCTCCTCTTCTCTCCTTTTCCCTCCTCATCTCCGTCTTCCCTTACCTCCCTTCCCATTCTCCCTTCCTTCCGTCCTTCTACACCCATTGAATATTTAATTAAAAGCCATTCGTGCCAAGCTTGTTAATATAGATTTATAAATCACGCGTTTCTCCTCCTCACGTGGGGGGGGGGGGGAGATGGAGGAGGGTTGGGGAGGGGGAGATATCCTTTATTCAGGGTATGTTGGGGGGAGGGCAAGGGGGTTATGTTGGGTGGGGGGGTGGGGGGGCAAGGGGGTTATGTTGGGGTGGGGGGTGGGGGGGCTTCTCCTTCCCGTTTCCTGTATGTCCTTAATAGATGAATTTCTCTTGCCTTGCATGGCCTACCCAAGCTGTGTTCTTATCTTTTCTCCCTGGCTTGATTTATTTTTCGTTTTTTCCTCCTCTTGTTTTCTCTTCCTCGTTTTCTTTTAATTGTTTGACGTTTTTTTTTGTTCTTCTTCTTTTCTTTCATTTGTTCTTCGTGATCCTCATCTTGTTTGATTTTTTTCCGTCTTCCCTCTCTCATCTCTCCTCTTATTCTCTCCCTCGTCCACCATCTACTCTCTTCTCTTATTCTCTTCTCCCCTCTCTCATTCTTCCTCTTCTCCTCTCCCTCATTCCCCCTCTTCTCTCTTTCACATTTCCCTCTTCTCCCTTCCTCATTCTCCCTCTTCTCCCTTTCACACGAGGTTTCTTCATTAGTAAATTAGCGTGTAGTGTGCGAGGCGGCGAGTGTAATGTGGTTTAGGGAATGGCGAGCGTGTTGGGACGAGGGAGGGAGGGAGGGAGGGAGGGAGGGAGGGAGGGAGGGAGGGAGGGAGGGAGGGAGGGGAAAGAGGGAGGGAGGGAGGGAGGGAGGGAGGGAGAGAGGGAGGGAGGGGAAAGAGGGAGGGAATGGGAGAGAAAAGGAAGATTAGAGGGATGGAGATGGAGGAATGGAAGGAGGGAAGGATGGAGGAAAGAAAGAAAGAAAGAAAGAAAGTAGGGAGGGAGGGAAGAAAGGAGAAAGGGAAGGATGGATGGAGGGAGGAATGATGGGAATGGGAGAGGAAGAGAAGAAGAGAGGGAGGGAATGGGAGAGGAAGAAAGGAGAGAAGGAGAGGATTAGACGGAAAGAGGGAGATGGAAGAGAGGAAGCGTAGGAAGCTTTATACAATTTAGGAAAAAAGGGGGGGATAGAGGGGGAAGGGGGGTGGTGGTGGTGGGCAGTAGGTTTAGTGCGGGTGATAATGCGGTTAGGGCGTCATAGAGGAGGTGTCAATCAACCGTCTTTTTTATAGGGTTGTGCCATTAATTTTATTGGTGACGCTGTTGTTTATGTGCAGGGCGGTGGCCGAGAGAGGGAGGGAGGAAGGGAAAAGAGTGAGGGAAGGAGGGAGGGAGGGAGGGAGGGAAAAGAGCGAGGGAGGGAGGAAGGGAGGGAGGGAGAGAGGGAAGGGGGTCCCCTGATCGTCTTGTCGTACCTCGTGACCTGGTCGTTGTCGCTAGCCACTGGTTGTTGAGTCGTTGATGGCCCGTTATATCGACGCTGAGGAATCGATTCAAGTCGCCTTTCTCTCCGGTTGAGAGTTGGTGGAAGAGAAGAAAGAGGGGAAGAAAATAAGGAAGAGGAAGAAGAGAAAGACTGAAGAAAAGATAAGATAAGAGAAGATAAGAGAAATAAATGAAAAAAAGATAAAAGAAAATGAAGAAGTAGTAGTATTAATAGAAGAAAGAAGGCAAGAGGAAAGAGCTCTGAATTTGTGCATGTAGTTGTACACTTAAGCACACATTGTACGTATGTGCACCAATACCAACACTAGCGGGTCGCCCCAGTTGCAAGGTGTCAAGATTCATGACTCACTCGAGATTTCCTTAAAAGGCGATTCGGGGTTGCCTATTGATTAAGTTGCCTCTGCACATGTACACTCTCGCCCGTGTGTGTGCTGGCATGTACAAATATGTACGGCGTGTACATTCACTCTCGGCGGGTAGGGTGGAGCGAGCTCGTCGGGAAAAAAAATGTCATTTGTAAATGGTAGCTCTCGATTTCGCTAATTGGAATATAGATTGGATTTTTTAAAAATTATTATTCATTATTTCGGGCATATATCGGCATTTCGGAGTGCCGTTCGGAGTTCGATGCGGCCTTGCGTTGCTGCTTGCGCGACCTCGTCTTCGATGGCCAAAAGCGAGGTCGTTTGGGACGCTTTTTTCACCCCTACCCCTTGATGGTCGTTTGTCCAGGGTCGTTCGTTCGAGGTCTTCCGTTCGAGGTCGTTGTCGGGCGCCGTGTCATGCCACTGTCATGTCACGAACCTCGCGGTGACACAGCTACTTTGGTGTTGACCTTGTTGCAGGCAGTAAAGAGCTCCGGGTGTTGCAACGTTGCCCGTCATTGCCGAGAGGGGTCACGCTGTTATTGCAGGTTAAGTGGGGAGGTTGTGGTTATGGGGGGGGGTTATGGGGGAGAGGGGAAGTGAGAGTAAGTGATGAGGGATTTGGAGTGGGAGGGAGAATGGAGGGAGTGTTGAGTGGGAAAAAAAGGAGGGCGGAAGGGAGGTGAGAGAAATGAAGAGTTAGGGGGAAATACACACACACACACACACACACACACACACACACACACACACACACACACACACACACACACACACACACACACACACCTGTTTCATTAGTCTTGCCTCTTACGTTAATCCCCGAGGCAACCTTCATCCCTCCCCTTTTCCCTTCCTCCGTTTCTCCCTTTCTCCCTCCTCCTTCCCCCTCCCGCCCACACGCCCATAGCCCGAGGCAGGTGGAAGCACAAGTTCAGCCAAGTCATGTCTTACCCAATTCGTATGACGTCATTTATGTATACGTGTCACTTATCGTCACGTTTTTTTTTAATCTCTTTTTTTTTCTACCCTTTTTGTTTCTCTCTTATTAATGCGTAATTTTCTTTCACTTTCTCCTCTTTCTTTTTTTTTTTAAAGTCGTGATGACTAAGCGGACGTCCGTGACCTGGTCTTTCGCGTGAGAATTTGAGTGCGTGTGTCGCGTTTTGCGTGTCCAGAGCGTGACCGTAATTGTAGGGGCTGTGGTTTTCGGAGCCTTTTATTTCTGTAGCTGTTTGCGAGTATCTCTATTGATGTATCTCTTTGTGTGTGTTTATTTATGTTCTCGCCTTCCCTCTTCCTTTCTCTCGTTCTCTCACCCCTCCCTCCGTTCTTATCTTCATTCCCTTTTCCTCTCCTCCCTTCCTCTCCACTCTCTTCACTACTCCCCTCCCTCCCCTTCTGTTCCCCTCCCCTCCCCTGTCCTCTCCTCTCCTCTCCTCTCCTCTCCTCTTTTCTCCTCCCCTCTCCTCCCACCCCCTCCTCTCCTCCCACCTTTAAATGTCAAATAGAGGTTAAGGTGAGAGCTGACGTGTGAGTGTAAGTATGAGCGTACGCATGCATGTCGCGACGCCTGTACGTGACGGACCGCGGGATGGCCGCATCTGTGCGGACTCGTATGTATGTGTGTATGCGTGTATGCGTATGAACGTGCGTTGGTTCGAGTGTGCGGCGCGTCACCTGTGTTCTGAAGACGGCCTTCACCTTATTGCACCTTCACCTGACAGCTCCTGAGTGCTGATGGGGCGAAGGGGGGTGGGCGGAATTGCGAATGTCGGGTGTCAGTCGGAGTGAGAGGCTTCCTTCTCGTGACTGACAGCGACGGCGGTGACGGCGCTGACGGGCGGGGAGACAAAGGGTCGGCGCTCCCACGGTCTTTCAGGGTGATTAAAGGGATATCTGTGACGGTGGGAGGTTCTGAAACTGATGTTTTTTATTGATGTTATGTTTGTGTGCGCATGTGGATTTGCGACGTATACATGCATACGTCCATAGGGAAGTCAACGACCGATTCTAAATTACTCATCCCTCATTTTCTCCTCTCTTTTTTTCTTGCAGACTCGTTCGTCAACTCTCAGGAATGGACGCTGTCCCGCGGCGTGCCCGACCTGCGGCTGGGCATCGTAGGCTCGCTCTCCTCCGGCAAGTCCGCCCTCGTGCACAGGTGAGGATCAGGAGTTTTTGTTTAGTTAGTTATTGTTTATTTATTGATTATTATTATTATTCATTTAGTTGTGTGTGTGTGTGTGTGTGTGTGTGTGTGTGTGTGTGTGTGTGTGTGTGTGTGTGTGTGTGTGTGTGTGTGTGTGTGTGTGTGTGTGTATGTGTTTGCTTGTCATCTCTTTCATTCTCTTTATTCTTAATTATCATCTTCATCTATCCATCCATCCGCCTTCCGTCATTTCTTTTCATTCGTGTCCTTCTTCCCCTTCCCCAGATACCTGACGGGGTCGTACATGCAGGAGGAGAGCCCCGAGGGAGGCCGCTTCAAGAAGGAGATCGTGCTGGACGGACAGAGCTACCTGCTCCTCATCCGCGACGAAGGAGGCCCGCCGGAACTGCAGGTGAGGCATGAGGAAGGGAGGGGAGGGAAGGAGGGAAGGAGGGAATGGGGGGTGGGTTGGAGAAAGGGAGGGAAGGAGAGGTGGGAGGGAGGGAATGAGGGAAAGAGTGGTGGATGGGAGGGAGGGAGGGAAGGAGGGGCGGATGGGAGGAAGGGAATGGGGGGGGGTGGATTGGAAGTATAGAGAACATGGAAAAAAGAGCAGTATAGAGAAAATGGAAATGAGAGAAAAGGAGAAAATGGAAATGAGAGAAGCGAAGTTAAAGAGTTAACGTTAAGAAGAAGGGAAAGGGAGAAACGAGGGAGGGAAAAAGGTGACAGGGAAATCATGGAGGTATTTATTTTCGTAAAAGTATATGCATGCGAGTCTGATTTCAAGCAATTATCAAATGTCGAGGCAATTAAGAGAGCCTGCTGAGTTAATGTTGGTCTGGGAAGATGGGGGAGGGGGAGGGGTGGGGTGGGGCACGGGCGTGAGGTGGGGTAGGGGGGGGGGAGATGGCCCCCTCGAAAGGTCATTAACATTATCCCGCGCAGTGACCATCGTGAAGGGGGGTGGGGGGTGAGGGAGAGCGAGAGGGGGGGGGAGGGGTCGTTCCCGGAACAGGTGCGTCGATAGTGATTAATATTAGGTAATGATTTTTAGGGGGGGGTAGGGTAGGTAGGGAGGTTATGGGAGGGGCTCTAGAAAGTAGGGGAGGGGGGGGGGGCGGTCAAGGGCGTGACATAGGGGTTGGGGAGGTGGGGGAGGATAGTGATGGGGAAGGAGGGGGGGGGGTACGGACAGAATAGGAGCGGAGGTGAGTCGTTGTCATGATGGATACTGATTTATTAATAGGACGAAGTTAATGGTGTTGTTGTGATTGATGACTGCGGTTGAGAATGGGCGGGGGTGGGGGTGGGGATGGAGGGGGGTGATTCGTTTTCTCTCATCAGGTGATTTGATTGGTTAAATGACTGATTGTGTGAGTGGTTATTTGTATTTGTTGAGGCATAGGGGGGAGGGAAGGGGTGATATCTGATTTATATCGATGAAAAGGGTAAAACATAATGTCGATTTTGTGTGTGGGCGGGATAGGTGGGTGGGTGGGTCGGTGTTGGAGCCAGCGGGGGCGAAATCCTTATCTCCTCCACCCTTCTCTCCTACTCCCTTTCCTTCTCTTTCTCCTTCTCCCCTTTTTTCCTTTCTTTCCCTCATCCCTACTTTCTTTTCCTTCCCATCCCTGTCTACCTCTCAATTCCTTTCCTGTCTCTTCTCCATACTCATCTCCCTTCTCTTCCCCCCCCTCCTCTACTCTACTCTCTCTCTCTCGCTCTCTCCTCTCTCTCCCTCCCCCCCCACACTCACTATCACCGTGACGCCCCCACCCCACCCTCCCCCTTCCCCTGCCGCCTCCCCTCCCCCCCTAAAATCTCGCCCGAAATGACCCTAAATTACCGGCCCCGATAATACTCGGTTACGCTCAAATTGCTCGTTAGTGTCGGTACCCAGTCGCGTCGCTTGCTTGTGTATGGGGAGGAGGGAGATAGAGGAAGGGGGAGAAAGGAGGAGGAGAGAGAGAGAAGATAGGTAAAGATGATAGTGATAAAGATGATGATGATGATGATCATAGTGGCGAGTATGACTATATCGATTATATATATGTATATATTTTTTAGAAGCAATGATAGTAATAATATGAATGGTAATCGTAGTAATTAGGCAAGAAGAGCATGAGGAAGAGGAAGAAGAAGGGGGAAGAGGAGGAGAAAGAGAAAGAGGAAGAGGAAAAGGACGAAAACAATATACTAAAAGGGAAGAAGAAGCAGAAGGAGAATGACAGGACCCGAAGACTAATGACACGGAGAAATGATGACGAGGGAGATGAGGAGGGAGGTCTTGTGGTCATTTCAGAGTTCATGTCATTTGTGGTACCGCGGTATGGTAGGTAGGTAGTCGCGCGCTCTTGTCGTTTCGCGTTATCGGAGGACGGTATGTTATCGCGTTATCGAGAATCGTTGTGTTATCGCTGGATGTTATATTTTTGCGATTTCGAAGGGTGTATTTATTCGTTCTTGCTATCGAAGAACACTGAAGATATCACGGGAGGTTGTTATTCAGATGTTAAAGATATCACGATAAGCTGTTATTTAGTTGATGTGATCAGAGATGAACGATATCGTATTAGATTGTTATCCAGTGTTGTTATCCAAGAAAACAACGTTATCACAGTTTATTTCTTGGCTTTTATTCCACCAAAGGCGACTCGGTTTCTAGAGCGGCGGCGCTGGCCGGCTGGAATGGGTCGGCCTGCCTAATGGGCTTCTTGTAGGCAGTTGGCACCCTGCCGTGGGCGCTTCCCCGGGGGGTCGGGCTCTGTTTACCAAGCTGGACCGCGAGTTAGGTCCCCACCTTCCCTTCCTTCCCCCTTCCCCCCTTCCCCCCCTTTTCTTCTTCCCAGCTCAATTCTCCCCGTGTCTTTATTTTCCCCCTATCGTATCAGATTTTCTTCCCCTGTCTCTTTCTCTCTTCATGTTTTCTTTTCTTTTATCTCAACTTTTTTTTGTTAAATAGTCACTTGTGTCTTTTTTCTCTCTTTTTCGGTCTTTTTCTTACTTTCGTCAACTCCCCCCCTCTATCTCTATTTCTTTTCTATCCCCTCCCTTTCCTTTCTCTTTTCTCCTATCTCTTACTCTTCCCTTTCATCAGCGTACATCTGCTCGTTTTGTTGTTTGTCCTCGCTTGTGTCGTGTTCGTCTGATATGCGTGTTTCCTGTGACGTCATTCGTGCGTTTCGTTATATATCGATTTTTATTTTTATTATTATTCTTTGCCTGTTTGTTTATTTAGTGACCGCTGTGACAGTTCACCGTTCTTGTTTTATTTTTCCTTCCCTCTCTTTACCTTTTCCTCTTCCCCTCCTTCTTCGATTCTCCCCCTCCCCCCCTTCTTCCCTTCTCCCCTTCTAGTAACTCAAGCTTCACTTAAGTGCCCACTAAATGCCCTCATTTTGCCCCCACCCTCCCCACCCTTGCGACTCCTTCCTCTTTCCCCCCCTCACCCCCCCTTCCCTCCTATCCTCCCTCCCTCCCTCCTCCCATCCTCTCTCCACCTCCCTTCCTCCCTCCCTCTCCTCCACCACCCCCCCTTCTCCGCATCCTGTCCATCAACTGTCTTACTGCCACCCTCAGCCCGCAGTAGGGGGTGTTGGGGGGGAGGAGGGGGAGGGAAAGTAGGCCTAGATTTTATTGCCAGCCGTAAAGAGCGTCTTTTCCTCGGGCCACCCGCAATGCACGCGCACCTGCTCACCCACTGCATGTCGTTGTTATCTCCTCCTCCTCTTCTTCTCCTTCGCTCCTGTGTCCCACCTGTTCACCTGCTCGTTTGCGGTGTCCTTCGGGTACACATTCCTGCGTGTCCGCTTGTCCTCGCTCGGAATCATGATTTGTGTCGAGGGGGGGGGGAGAGAGAGACAGAGGCAGAGACAGAGACAGAGACAGAGACAGAGACAGAGACAGAGACAGACAGACAGCCTGTGTGCATATCTTTCATTTCTCTCTACTCTTTCTTCCGTCCTCCTTTCCTCTGTCTTTCCCCTCCTCCTCCTCCTCCTCCTCCTCCTCCTCCTCCTCCTCCTCCTCCTCCTCCTCCTCCATTTCCCCCTCTTCCCTCAGCCTCACTCACGCATCGCGAAGCCACTTTTCAACTTGCCCCGTCGGATTTACACCCAGTCTTTACTGACGTTTATCGTGAGAGAGAAAGAGAGAAAGAGAGAAATAAAGGGAAAATGGAGAGAGAAATACCCTTGCCATGGGAATTTAAAGGGAGGGGGAAAGAGGAGGGGAGGAGGGAGAAGGAGAGGAGGGAGGAGGAGGAGGGGAGGGGGAAGGGGAGGAGGAGGGCGGTGGGCCTACAGGTAGTCCGTCAGGCAACCATTGATGAACTCTTTATGGGTTTTTGGCCATTCTCGTCGTTTTTTTGAGTCGTAAAAAGGGAAATCTGGAAGGGTAGGGGGTGGGGGGGAGGGAGAAATGTCCCAAGGGAAAGCAGGGGAGGCGCTAAACGATTGATTTTTTTTTATTCTATTATTACAGGTCTAAATGGTTTTGAAACACAGGACGGGGGGGGTCATTGTCCACGGGTTTCACGGGTTATTTGGAACGGTTGTTTCTCTTTCTCTCTCTTTCGTTATCGTTATTTTTCTTTTCTTTTCTTTATTTTCCTTTTTTTCTGTTCTTTTATCTTTCCGCTTTTTAGATTTATTGCTTTTACTTGGCCAGTTTTTGTCTGTTTTCTCTCTCTCTCGCTGTCTCTCTCTCTCTCTCTCTCTCTCTCTCTCTCTCTCTCTCTCTCTCTCTCTCTCTCTCTCTCTCTCTCTCTCTCTCTCTCTCTCTCCCTCTCTCTCTCCCTCTCTCTCCCTCTCTCTCTCTCTCTCTCTCTCTCTCTCTCTCTCTCTCTCTCTCTCTCTCTCTCTCTCTCTCTCTCTCTCTCTCTCTCTCTCTCTCCCTCTCTCTCTCCCTCTCTCTCCCTCTCTCTCTCTATCTCTCTCTCTCTCTCTCTCTCTCTCTCTCTCTCTCTCTCTCTCTCTCTCATCTCTCTCTATATATATATATATATATATATATATATATATATATATATTTTATCTCATTCTCTTGCATTTTGCTTCATTCTTCTCTCTCTCTCTCTCTCTCTCTCTCTCTCTCTCTCTCTCTCTCTCTCCCTCTCCTCTTCATTCTCTCTCTCTCTCTCTCTCTCTTCTCTCTCTCTCTCTCTCTCTCTCTCTCTCTCTCTCCTCTTTCTTCGTCTTTCTGACTCGCTTTCTACCTTTTCCTCTCCCTTGTACCATCTCTTCTCTCTCTCTCTCATCCTCTCCTCTCTTCTCCCCCTACTACCCCCCTCCCCCCCAAAGGATAATAGCAAGGATCGGAACTCAGTTGATAATGGCCTCTCGCGCTCTATTTCACACGCCGGTCGCCACATATATATATTTTTTCCTTTTTTCATCTCTCGCGACTACATTAAAATTTAATATTTCTCTCTTCGGTTTGTTGTGGTGTAGCTCCCTCTTGCTCCGGTGGGAACCAGGTGATGTTGGGTGTGTGTGTGGGGGGGGGGGTATATCTCTTACCTTCTCTTTCTGTTTTATCTTTATTTTTTTTCGATTTTTTTTCTGTTTGGATATTTCGGTGGTTCTCATTTCGTCTTTTTTCCCTATTTCTCTCCTTTTCTCCTTTCTTTTTCTCTCCCATCCCTTCCCCCTCTCCCTCCGCTTCCCCTTCCTCTCCCTCCCCTTCCCCTTCCCCTTCCCCTCCCTCTCTCTCTCTCTTATCCTCTCCCTCGCTCTCTTTCTCCCCATATTTATCCGTCCCCTCCTTTCCTCTCGGGATAA